GCTTCATCTTAATACAGAAAATCATTTTTCTTAACACTTTTTTTGTTTTTTCTATTTCTGCCTTGTAGTTGCGTCGTGGATGTTGCTCAACTGATTACTTTTTTAACCTTACTGTATCAGACTTTATTTTCCAAACTCCTATTTGTCTGACTTAAGCTCTCTTTTTAGTTAAATACTGCAAATTTTAGAAGAATTGTCCATTGTTAGTGCTGTTTTTGATCTCTTATTGTAACTGGTTAGGTATTCTAGCGATATTTATAAGTTGTTACTATTGACGTTGCGTAGAATTGGTACATTACATCCTCCTCATTGTTCATTTCATTCTTCGTTTTTGCAAGGCTCTTTTGGATTTCAAAAGTTTGTTGCGCTAAGTACAGGAGGACACCCGATTAACACTGGTGGATTAATTATTTGTAAATTGTTACTGTTGCTATTATGTAATCAATAATAATTTTTTCGAAATAATTTCCTGTCCGGCAACCCTTTGAAGTACGAATTTAAACGGATTTTTTTTTTCAGAAAAATTACTGTTATTTTATTGAATTATATTAAGTTTAACTTTACCAAAGGGGTACCGATTTTAGGTCTAGTGAAAAACATGTAATATGTATACCTAATTGTGCAGAATAAATGAGGTGGAATGGAAGTTCCCAGGATGATACAGCGATGAAGAACTGAGCAAAGCAATAAGTCGGTGTTGAAATTAGATGTATCGCCCAGCAGTATTCTCCTGTAAGGAAGATAAGTTTTGATACTTGCTCTGAACCAGGCTTCTGACATAAGACGTTTTTGTAGTGATCTTCTGATTTAATACACGCTCAGAAACATGGACGAATAACTCGGCCGTTTAAGCTTGGCAAATCAAAGCTAGGTATTGCAGAGAATTTATACGGGTTATCTCATCTACACAAAGCTTTGCAATTTGATTACTGACTTCCCTGAGTCATCGCGACCTATTCTTCCAGCTGAAACGGCTCAACTCCATTAATCTTAAAATAACTCTAAGGGTCAGAAAGATTCGCTTCACTTTCTCTTCGGACTGCATGTGAAGTTTTTAACCTAGGTTTTAATTCACGCTCAGGTACTTTTACTGCACATCTTGAGGAATAGGGATCAGTCAGCTAAGAAATGGGTTGGTCTTTGCCATCTCCTAGTGTCATTCCTGCATATGTTTATTTACATCTGAAACCACTGAAAATATGTCCAATTCGACCATATTTTTACTGTCT